CCCTCTGGAATGAACTACCCCCCGAGATCCGGATGATTCCGGATCTCCTTACTTTCCGCCGCGCCCTCAAGACATGGTTTTTCCAGCAAGCGGGCCTGACCTAGGGAGGATTTTAGGTAGGGATAATTTTAAAAGTATTTTAATCGGAAACACAGCTGGTAATATTTGGTTTTAATTCGGCTTTTATCGGGGTTTATTTCTTGGATTTCTGTATTTTTGTATTTTGTATTTTTTGTATTTTGTGTATACTATTTGTTTTTAATATGCTGTGAACCGCCCTGAGTCCTATGGGAGAAGGGCGGTATACAAATTAAATTATCTATCTATCTATCTATCTATCTTGTGACTTGTGGACTTCAACTCCCCAAATTCCCGAATTCTGGGAGTTGAAGTCCACAAGTGATAAAGGGGCCGTAGTTCTCCACCTCTGGCCTAGATCAACAGTAGAGACATTCATGAAGTCACCAGGTGGGCATCTCAACACGAGGGAGTTTTTTTTTTAGTTATTAAATCTTGTCTCCCAAACATGAAATTCCTCTTTGTTTCCCTTCCTCTTACCTATTATTCAACTCTACATTGGATTAATGTTGGCATACTTAGCTTAAATTATGTTAACCAGCATAAGCATAAGCTTAGCCAGCATAAGCCCTCTCAAGTCAACCTTAAAAATTAAGCTGACAGTTTGAAATTCCGTTCAGTTTCAGATTAGCTACTATGCGTAACTCTCAGAGCTGATCTTCTTCCAGATGGCAATCACAATGGGTCAGGTTTCATCTGATTCCTGGAACTCATCACTGTTCTTCCCACCGTCATTCAGGCTGCCCCTCAACACCTCAGAATGAGGTGAAAGATGGTGGATGGGGATACAGGTAGTCCTTGACTTACAACAGTTTGTTTAGTGACCGAAGTTACAACGGCACTGAAAAAAATGACTTATAACCGGTTTTATACCTATGACCATTGCAGTATCTCCACGGCCAAGTGATCAAAATCCAATACTTGATAACTGTCTCATATTTATGACGGTTGCAGTGTCCTGGGGTCCTTAGGGTTTGCGACCTTCTGATAAACAAAGTCAATGGAGAAGCCAGGTTCACTTAACAACCGTGATACTAATTAACAGATGCAGTGATTCACTTAACAACTGTGGCAAGAAGGGTCGTAAAAAGGGGCAAGATTCAACAAATGTCTTGCTTAGCAACATAAATGTTGGGCTCAATTGTGGTCATAAGTCAAGGACTATCTGTATGAGGCTGTGTTGGTGGTAAGGTGTCCTTGGGCTGGATCTTCATGTTTCATCTTTATGTTAGCTATAACTCTTCAGTTTAATTGTTATTTGGGAAAAAAATCAATTCAAAGAGTGAGAAAGCCTTGTGCAAAGGAAGGGTATTCTGCAGAAGCTCAAAGTAATACGTATACAATCTATGCCTTACTAAACTTTTATTATTTATTTATAATTTGTGTATTTATTATAGAAATCCAAATGAATTTAGATTTAATATGCATACATAAAATGTCAGTATATCAATATCTGATCAATAGGATGATGGTTTTTTTTTTCAAATTTAAGTACTACGGAAAAATTAAAGGCAATTTTAAAAAGCAACTAAGGTCTAACGCCAGTTCTGGATTTATTATTCTAAACATAATAAAAGTCATTATTTCTAAAATGCAAATCTCCATCCAAAATGTACCTCATATGAAAGCTTAATCATATTACTCTGCAGAAAATAGAGGAAGGAGGAAGACTTGCACCTTCTGTAATTTTGTGTGTTAGTGTGTAAGTGTGCACCAGCACTAGATGAAAATTTGCAAGTGATAAATGTTGTTTCAAGTACTGGAATTGAATAAACCTCACATCCTTCTTCATTTCAGCAGCATGTATTGCTGCTGTAAACATTCTCTTGTCTTGTTATTATTTCTGAAAAAAAGACGTCAAACCCTCATGTTGACTTTCACCAGCGGGTTTTAATTTACCTTCACTCCTGCCCTCGAAAACCAATCACATGCAGAGGAGACAATGTTCCTTCCTGGCAATTTTTTTTAGTTAATCAAAATACAAAATACAGAGAAACAAAGAAAATGAAGATAATGTGAAAATAGGGGAAGAAAAGGGGAAAGAAAAAAGTGTTGGGTAAAGGAGGGGGGAAAAGGATTGACTTCTGACTCCTTTTGGCACAGTAGAATAAGGTAATCACACCTTGACTTTCTAATTTTATATAATACCGTACTATATGCTAGCCGTTTCTATATCAAGAAATCTATCTAATCAGCAGAACCCAAAATCAAAGTTTCATTTTTTTTCTAGCTCAAGCACAAAGTCCAGAAGAGGTTTCTTAGTAGAAACAAAATTAATTGTGTTCTTTTCTTTAACCAAAGCAGTCAATTTAGCCATCTCTGCTAACTCCGTCAACATTTGGAGCCATTCATCCATTGTGGGAGGATTGCAGACATTTCTCAGCTAATAGCCATTTCCATGTCCAAGTTCTTATCCCCAAATTATCACTTTAGGAATTCTAAAGGTCTCCTTGAAGATCTTGGAGCCTCGGGTTGAAAGACATGGAAAGAGCGTCTCTATTATTTCCTGTTTCCCTCATGGCAATTCAGACATAGAGAGCAGGCTATGGGGTTGATGCAATCCAAGGTATCCCCTAGTTTGATGTTATTGAATTCAAGCCTCCTCTAATTCTCCCCAGATCCTTGCCTGTCATGTCAGATGATGTGGAGAAGAACGAGGCTCCTCCAGAGCCAGAGGCAAAGCAAGATGAAGGAGAGAAGAAAGAGCCGGAGCCAAAAACTGAGCCAGAGGCAAAGCCGGAGCAACAACCACAGCTGGAATCCCCACCTCGTAGCCCAGCACCAGAAGCCCCTCCGTCATCCATGCTGGTGACCGTCACCATTGAAGAGGAGACTGTGGGAGGACCACAACTGAATGGGGATCCCTTGGGGCTGAGGGCCGGCTCAGCTGAGGAATTAGGAACCACCCCAGCCCCTCCTGGCAGTCCCCCGGCACGGTCCAAGTCAGCATCACTGAACGACCTGAAGCCCCAGAACAGCATCAATGGAGGCCCACGGGCGGTTGCGAGGGGCAGCTTGTCTGGCTCTCAGGTGCATCTTGCGGGCACAGCAGCATTTCCACGGGCCAGTCTGAGTCGGCAGGCCTCAGCAACTGGATCGGCAGCTGGGGAGGCTGGGGCGAAACCCAGAGACTACATATTCATGGCTGCTCTGTCCTGCTTTTGCCCCATCTGGCCGATCAACATTGTGGCCTTCGTGTACTCGGTCATGGTAAGTGCCAAGGCGGGGTTGGGTAATTAAAAGAACTACCGGCTACGCGGATCCTGTAAAACGCTTTCCCCGGCATGGTTGAATGCCGCTTTGCATGTCCCCTTTCCACCCAGCCTACCTACTGCTGCACCCAACACTTCATCCCCACAAGACAAAAGAAGAGCAGTACACTTACTCATGCAGGAATGGAACAGGCAGGACAGGCTACTGTATATAAACAGGAAGCAAACTCCACTCCCCCTCACACTGATGATGTTGCCTAGTTGGGTAAGGAAATGTCTGCAAGCAAAGAGCCAAGCTCAGAGAGCAGCAAGGATCCACAGTTCAACCCTGAGCCAAAGATACAAGCAGTCCTCAACTTACAACCATTTGTTCAGTGACCATTCGCAGTTACAACAGCATTGAAATAAGTTACTTACAACTGGTTTTCACATTTATGACTGTCACAGCATCCCCATGTCATGTGATCAAAATTCAGGCACTTGGCAATCAGCATGTGTTTTCAACAATTGGAGTTTCCTGGGGGTCAGGTGACTTTGCCATTTGTGACCTTTCCGACAAATGAAGTCAATGGGGAAAGCTAGATTCCCTTAACAACTGCAGTGATTTGCTTAAGAAGTGTGGCAAAATAGGTCCTAAAATCGGTCTCAACTCACTTAACAACTGCCTTGCTTAACAAACAGAAATTCTGATCCCAATTGTGGCTGTAAGTCAAGGACTGCCTGTATTCTCTTCGATTTTCATTTTTGGCCCCTCGTGCCAGGGGAGAAATAGATCCTACTTGCTTTGTCAAAAAGAAAGGGCAGTACAATGCTGTGGCTTGTGTAAAATTTGCACATGCTAATCTGTATATATGTGCACATATGCACAAATGAAAAAAAAAAACATCTATTGTGCAAACAAATTCAGCTTAGTGGGCAAGGATCTGAGGGGAGGGGGGCCAAAAGTCAAAGTGGTGTCACAATCATGCAGTTAATGCACATCAAGAGGGGACAGGTTTGATTGCATGGTTCAGGCTGCCATCCTGAGTTTTCGGATACCCCAGCAGTGAAGATGGGTGGATGATTTTTATGCCTGATTGAGAAGCTGTCTAACTGTTAATATCTCAGTTTCTCCTTCTTGTGGGTCTCTAAATCAAACATGGCCTTTGCAGTCTTTCAATCAGAGCTTGAAAAAAAGCTTTCAATTTGTTTTTAATTAGAATAATCAGGAGGGGCAGGAACAAAGCATGCCCCCCTTCCATTGCCATCTCCAATACTTACTTACAATCAACTTACAGTCATTCATTTAATTACGTTCAAAGTTACAAAGGCATTGTAAAAAGTGACTTACTGTATGACTGTTTTCACACTTATGACCCTTTCAACATCCCCACAATCACATGATTAAAATCTGGACGCTTGGCAACTGGCATGTATTTATGACGGTTGAAATGCCCAGGGGTCATGTGATCACATTTTGTGACCTTCTGACAAGCAAAGTGGACAGGGAAACCAGATTTACGTAACAATCATGTTAATAACTTAACAGCTGCAGTGATTCACTTAACAATGGTGACAAGAAAGTTCATAAAATGGAGCAAAACGCATTTAGCAACTGTCTTGATTAGCAATGGAAATTTTTGGCTCCCTTGTGCTGGTAAGTCAAGGACTACCAGCTCCTTTTTAGGAAGCGAGATCACCAGAGCAATTTTATTTCCTTTGGGTGCTCTAATATCTCAGGGAAATCCTTTGCTTGAACTTGAATCATTGTAAGAACATTCTTAATGGCTTGATCCATTTTCTGCTGGCAGAGTTGAAGCGATTCAGCCAGGATTGCCAATGTTGTGCTTTGAGTGCCCACTAACCACTGCAATGTCAGTGATGTGTGTGTTTCGATTTAAGCAGTGGAAATGGTTGAGATGCTCAGGTGAGCTCTTATATTTTTAACATCATTTTTCTTTTTGCTCCCACTTCAGTCCCGTAACAGCTTTCAGCAGGGAGACATTGATGGGGCTCGGCGCTTGGGACGGGTAGCAAAGCTGCTGAGTGTCGTGGCCCTGGTCGGGGGCTTGCTCATCATTGTGGCCTCTTGTGCCATCAATTTTGGAGGTGAGTGGATAGGAAAGCACTGCTTGACGGGAGGATTTCTCCAGAGCAGGGGTCTTCAAACTTGGCCCTTTTATGACTTGTGGACTTCAACTCCCAGAATTCCTCAGCCAGGCATTCTGGCTGAGGAATTCTGGGAGTTGAAGTCCACAAGTCATAAAAGGGCCAAGTTTGAAGATCCCTGCTCTAGAGAGTTGTGATGCTTAGATTTTTGACCAGTGATTCCCAATCTCAGCAATTTAAAGATGTGTGGACTTCAACTCCCAGAGTTCTCCAGCCAGCATCCTGGCTTGGGAATTCTGGGAGTTGAAGTTCACCCTTCTTGGTTGAGGAGCACTGTTTTGGACTACTTCAGAAGATGATTTCAGAATAAAGACTTCCTTTTCTTAAAATGGAGTCTACGTTGATACTCTGTGGAGAAGACCCCACTGGGGAGGACAAAGCCAGACGAGGTACTGTGTTGATTGTGCTGCAACCATTAATGGCTGCTAATGTTCCCACAAGAGAAATAAACTGCTATAATAATAATCATGATAATACATTAAAGAGTCTTGTTGTGGCAAGAAGTTACATAATTATGACCCAAAAGATCACTGACAGAGAAGCAGCCCACATCTACAGTACAAAGTCTGGCTCATGGAAATCAGCATTCTTATTAAAACCTGCAGCTGCTCCAAAAAAGCTCCTTTGGGGGGGGTCAGTCTTTTTTTGTGGGGAGGCCTATGAGCCAACCAGAGCGTTGTGAGACTTTGAGGTAACCAGATAAGATATAATTATCAATATTAATTATAATAGATAAAGCCCCAGTCTAAGACCTTTACTGCTGACGATAGTAAAAAAAAAAGTCAAAATTGCAGTCGGCATCAAAGCCACACCTGGTCTATTTATTCATTTGCCGCCGTTATTACTTTTATACATAACTCAAGATGGTATACACACACAGTATTCCTTCTTCCTCCTAATTTCCCCACAAAAACAACAACCTGGTGGGGTGGGGTGGGGTGGGCTAAGAGAGAGTGATTGGTCCCAGGTCACCCAGCCAGCTTTCATGCTAAGGGAGGATTAGAACTCATCATCTCTTGATTTCTAGCCTGGTGCCTTAACTACTAGACCAGGGGTAGGCAACCTTGGCTCTTTTATGACTCGTGGACTTCAACTCCCAGAGTTGAAGTCCATGAGTCATAAAAGAGCCAAGGTTGCCTACCCCTGCACTAGACCAAATCTTTCTATATATCACCTGTGCAATCTGTGTAAAAAGAGGGTGGGGCTTTGATCACATCGTCACAACTGCCATTTTGACTTTTTTGACCCCTGCACACACCTGAATCTCACACCTTCCCTTGAAATGACATCATGAATCTCCCCCTTGCTTTTCCTAATGGTCTGCTCCTGCATGCTTCGGGTTCCAATGAATGCCAGGGGTAAGGAGGATGAAATGAGCACATCTGAGATATTAATCCCTCATGTTTCTTAACAAATAGTAAATAAGTCCCTTTTTTTGCTCTTTTTTCCTGTGTTCGTCTTCCCCTCCTCGATTCCTTTGCCCTTGTTCCTTTTCCCTCAAACCTTCCTCCTTCCCAGTGTTTCAGTGAAGGCGGCCCTTGGCTGCTACTGCACCCCTAGCCTCAAATTTTCCATCTTTGGAGCAGGGGACCCGTATGACTACAGTGCCCCCATCCCTTCTCATCCCACCCATGTCCCCTGCATCCCAGAACCATACGAGAGAGAGAGAGAGAGAGAGAGAGAGAGAGAGAGACAGAGACAGAGACAGAGACAGAGACAGAGACAGAGACAGAGACAGAGACAGAGAGAGAGAGAGAACAAAGGAACACGAATGAAAGAAAACTGAAGAAACAGCTTACAATGTGGTTAAATATTTTCTCTCTCACTGTAGGGAGTTCAATTCCTCCCCCCAAAAACTGGAACCAACACCCACCCCCATCCAATGGAGAAAGAAGGAAAAAGGAGGAACAGGTTTCCCATGTTCTCTCCCACAGTCTCTCTCTTTCTCTCTCATTTTCTTTTCATCCATCCATCCATCTGTTCAACCGATGACCTGTCTGTCCATCTTCCATCGACTGCCAAATTTCAACAGCAAATAAAACTCAATGTTCCATGTTTACAAGAACCTTCTGGAGAAAAGCTCTTTTTTCCCCCCACGGCCCCTATGAAGATAGTGGGGGGAGCATGTTTACATGTTTTTGCTGGGAACAAAGGAAAAGAACGAGCCTTGGAAAAGAGGAAAAGCTGATCTCTCCTCTGTGATGTTTACAAAAGACAACAGACAGGGATGAGAAGGAGTGGGCTCAGAGCCATGAATTGGTTTAGAAACTGGCAATGATGGAACAACTTAGAGCAACTTACCATGACTCCAAAGGTGTGGTATCCAGGTGGAGTATAATTCAAATAGGTGTGGTTGCACACCTATAAGACATCCAGAAAGGCTTGTATAACCAAACACATCATCCTGCCAATCAACCGGCAGAAAAGAAATGACAATGGAATGGGTGAAATTAGCTGAAGGAATCAATTCAACCAACAGAGAATAAATAGCTTGAATCACAAGAAGATCAAAAATGTACGGTGGAAACGTGTGAAAGTGAAGATGAAAAAAAAGGGGGGGAACCCCCACAGAGCAAAAGAAGGAGGTGATTGGCAGAATGGGCTTTACAGAGAAAAATGTTACAGGTCCAACACACCAGCAAAAATGACAGCAAAAGAAGTTGGAAGAATTTGGCAACAGAGCTAGTGGAGGACATGAAATACCTGTCTTGGGAATCCTACAGAAAAAAGTGAGATTGCAATGCTTAAAATGAGAACGTTGGAACAGGGGTCTTCAAACTTGGCCCTTTTATGACTTGTGGACTTCAACTCCCAGAATTCCTCCGCAAGCACAGCTGGCTGAGGAATTCTGGGAGTTGAAGTCCACAAGTCATAGAAGGGCCAAGTTTGAAGACGACCCCTGCGTTGGAATGAATGAAATGAAGGTTGTAGTAGAAGTAAGGTGTGTGTGTGTGTTAGCAGGCATCCCATTCAGAAGTTGAGAGCATGAAAGAGACAAAGACCATTCCCCCCCCCCTTTTTAAAGGACCAGCTGCAGCCAGAAAAATAGGATTGCAAAGCATGAATTTGTGCAGCGTCTTTTAATTGGTGAACCGATATATTAGCCTCAGAGTCAGGCTGTGGGAAGAGATGAATCTTGGCCAAACACTACTTAGAGAAACCCAAATATTTAGCAGACATGAGAGACAGCTGGGGTATGAATGTAGCAGGAATTCAGGGTGGCTATATAGGGTGAGTTGTGGAACGTGCCAAGAAATTGTGGGGAAAGACAGTTCCAAGATATTGTGCTACCTGAAACAAAAGATAAAATATTTATGTGCAAAAACAGATTTAAGTATCCCATTGTAGTTGAGGAGGGAAAAATAACTTAAAGAGGACAGGACAGGCTGCACAGCATTCATGGTTTGGTTGTCCAGCATATTGTACACAGTGATTGCTACCCCCTTAAATCTTTGTGAAGCATCTGCCATCAAAGGCAGTTATGTTAAACAGGGTATCTTTCACATATCTAAGTCCAGACCCACCACAATTCTTACCCAGAGGCCATGTGCACACTGGTTGGACTTCATGGGAGTTGTGGGCAAAAATATCTGGAGGAGTCCAGTTGAGGAAACTGAAGTTCAATATCTCTTCTTGTTCAATCCTTTTCTTTGGTCAAATAAGAGATTGTGAATTTTTTTGCTCAGTTGCTTTGAAAGGCAGAAAAGGCAGAGAGAGGAAGGACGCACACACACGTATGCACACGCTCTCTTTCACACACACAACAGAGGAATTACTGTACTGAACACCTTCACCCTCACCATGAAGAGTAAAAACCCTCCACGTTGTGAGGATCAGAATTGAAGCAGGGACCAAGAAGATGTGTGAGTGAAGCATGAATGTGTTTATACAGATATATACAGGAGTGAAGATGTGCTGAGAGGAATATATGTTTCCACCCTGTATATATTATATTATTTCTTCTCTGATGGACAAAGGAAGCCTATAATTCTAATCTGCCATCAGAACTGTGCTATTAAAAACAAAACAAGGCACCCCGTTATTGGAAGTGTACAGATCCTAGTCAACATTATCCAGTGTAAGAGTCAAGACAAGAAGGAATGGGATAATACCACCTAGTACTAACAAGCAAAAAAGCAAGACATTTTCTAAGGGGGGAAAAGGGGGGGAAGCGTGGGATAGATGAAAGTTTGCACGAGATTCAGTTTAAAAACCAAGACGGGGAACACGACTATCCTGACTATCCTCGGAGAAGGAAAGGAAGCTGGGATGATACAGACCCCTCCTTGGATGGAGAGATCACACCAGCCAGAGAGGGAAGCACATCTGCCCACTGGGCTCACTAGATGTGACGCAGCAGCACAGGGAGAGACAGGTTGAACGATGATGCTTCGCTGAGAAATTTATTCTTGAGAGGCCAAATGCTCCATGCAAGCCAGAAAGAAAGACATCTTGAAAAGGGTCAGATAGACAACCACATATGTGATTGGACAGAATCTACTTGGGGGCGGGGGTGGGGATGGCAGGGGGGAGAACAGGGTGAGGAAAGGACACCAGCAAAGAAGTTGTGTGTAGCAGACACTAAATTTACACCCAGCACAATGTGAGTTTTATTTCTTTTCTTCTCCCCCCCCCCCCCCGGCTTTGGTTTTCCTGCAGACTGTTACACAAACGGGACGGGGTGGGGTGGGTGGGTGAGGCATACCGGCAGCCTCCTTTATAATTTATACTTGGGAGACAGCATGGGGCATTATTTAAGGGGGAGGAGGGTCTGAAACTCCTTCCACTATTAATCCCATCTGCACGATGTACAAGCCTCTGGCCCCCTGCCAACCGTCCTGCCCAATTAAACCAAGGAAAACCAAAACGGCCTGTCCCTCGATGGATGCATGACGCAGGTGGGAGGGCAGTTTTGGTAGAAGGAGCCTTCTCCTTGGGGACCGTTAATCTCTAGGAGGCTGAAGGGGACGGCTGGCAGGGTGAGG